GAAACTGGACCTGAAAATAAATATTTATATTTGAAACAGTGAGCTGCCTAAAGACAATATAACATCTAAAATTACTTTTAAAAACCATTTTTAAAAAAGCTTTTCAAAAGTAAAACAGATAGGGGAAATAACCAAATTTGATTTAAATCATATACAACTAATATAAAGCCAGTGTTCCCAGATTCTCTTTTTATCCATACTAAGCTTGTAGTTGTTGTTATATGCTGTCAAGTAAGAACCGATATTTATAGCATCCCTAGCAGGGCTTGCAAGGTAAGTGAGATGTTTAAAGTGGTTTTACCCATCCCACTCCTTCCACTGAGTTGTTGTGGGTGTGTGGGGATTTGAATCCAGGCCTCCTGAGTCCTAGTTTTGGCACCATCCCTGCAGAACATGTATGGCAGTTCCTACTCATGCTCCCAGAAGTGTGAGGAGTGTAGACTGCACCCTAAATCCAGTTATAATAACAATAATTGTAGAACTTCAGAGCTGGAATAGACTCAATGGATCATCGAGTCCAGCCCCTGTCAAGGAGGCACAGTGGGGCACCATAGCCAGCTGTTCAAACCACTGAACCATCCAGCATTCCTTGCTAGTCCCAACAACAGTAGATCCATTGAATTAATTGCTGTAGGGTATGTCAAAATACTGTACTTTGGTTTGGTGTTAACAATTGGATTTAGATCAGTTTTATTTATATACAGTACTGTACAACACTTCTACTTTACTTTTTTAAAGTTACAAAGCATTCAGTGTAACGTAAAACAAATAAAACCTATTAATAAGGAAAATCAAATACATGAAAAATCCATAGAAGCAAGCAGCAATAAAACAGGAGCAAGAACTCATCTAATACGTATTTGGGGCTGGCTTAGCACCTAACACTGCAGTGGGGAACCTGACTCTCTCCAATAGTTTTGGGATTCTCTCTATCTTATAATAACTATGGTTGTTACAAGATAGGACTGCTGAACCTACAGCTGGGAATGCAGTTGGAATTCCCAGATGGGAAGGCATCTGGAAGGACACCATTTCCACTGCCCTTCTCTAAAAGGTAACAAAAATCACAAAATGAATATTTGTGTAAAACGGTGGTTCCCAATCTCAGGTCCCCAAGTAGCAGTCCTCTTGGGCTGTTATGGTAAAGGCTTCTGGGAACTGCAGTCGAAAAAAAACTGGGGACCCAAGGTTGGGAATCACTGGTGTAGAGTGTTTTATGGCTACCTAAAAGGAAGCCCTAAAATGGTTTAATCTTGGGGCCTTCAGAAGAAGTGCAATTTTAAATCAAATGTGTGGTGGCTGTTGATGATTAAGATTAGATACAAGATTCTGCTGGCAGAACCCCCTTCTTTAACCGTTTTCAGGGTAATCTACTGCCAGAACTGATGTGTGAGTAAGAAGAAAGAGAAAAAGAGGCAGAGAAGGGATGGAGCAATGAATTTCTTTATTGTAAATATTATTACCCCACCTTTCTCCTTAAAAAGAACACAAGGTGGCTTACAGCAGTAAAAGGCAATATTTAAAAGCTAAGAAACAGTAAGCATGCAAATGTTACCAAAAAAATCAAACAAATACCACACTAAAACAGTAAACAAAATCAACACGAAAAACACATTCAAAGAAACAAGCACAACAAACCATTTAAAAATATCTTATAGTGCAGTTACTTGTGTGTGTGGAGTAAATCGATTTTTTAAAAGGTGACCACGTGATGCATATGGAAGCGTGGATCTTTTTTATTTTTTATTTTTCCTAAGAAGTGTCTTTTTGGTTGGAAAATAAGGTAATTTACTTGGCTGCACGAGGGTTGTTTATTCTAAATTTCTTGTGAAATCAATTTATTTTGAATCGTTTTGGTATATATGAACGCATCTGTCAGTGTAAATTGTGTTTGTGAGGTTTACCAATTACTGGTGTGCCTCTTGCAGCCCCAGCTGATGTTTGTGAGGTTTACCAATTACTGGTGTGCCTCTTGCCAGCCCCAGCTGATGATTCCATGCTCCTTCTCCTTCTACAACCTTCCTGCCTTCTCTCCCCCCCCCTCTGTGTGTGTGTGTGTGTGAAAGAGAGCTAGAGAGAGAGAGAGAGAGAGAGACTCTCCTTTACAAGCCTAATATGCCTTTGGTCAGTTTCAACCTCAGCTGGTAATTCCATTTCTCTCTCTCCTTCTCCACCCCCTTCTCTGTGTGTGTATCTGTGTCTGTTGGTCTGTCTGTCTCTCTGTACGTGTGTCGGGCTGCAGGGAAACCTGTTTTATTTTTTATTTTTCTATCTGCCATACTGAACTAGTGCTAGATTGCAAGAAATAAAAAAAATTAAGAAAAGTATTTAAAATAACACTAAAGCAGCAGTGGCTAGTGCCTGAGAGAGGCAGCAGGTGTGAGGGGAGTGTGGGCACAGGGCAAAGCCTTAAATGCAGTGATACTAAAACCCCATTGTAGCCCCTTCAACCATTATACAATACAGTTTAAAAATGGATTAAAAGTTTTACCAAGAGGAACCATATGTCAACCCAAAAACCAGGTGACTTTAAACAGACTTCAAAAACGCCGATCCCTCTCATGATTCATTTTCACAGTGTAACCTATCCTAAGACAGTCAGTAATGGAATGTCTTCCTGAAGAGGAAGTCCTTTCTCTGCTTGTGGAAGAACAGCAAAGATGGGGCCAGCCTTCGGTGGGAGAGAATTCAATGAAGAGAATAACAATGAAGATGAGTGGCAGCAGATTTAACCATTCTCTATCCCTGAACCATAGTTACAATGATTCATTTTCACAGTGTAACCTATCCTAAGACAGTCAGTAATGGAATGTCTTCCTGAAGAGGAAGTCCTTTCTCTGCTTGTGGAAGAACAGCAAAGATGGGGCCAGCCTTCGGTGGGAGAGAATTCAATGAAGAGAATAACAATGAAGATGAGTGGCAGCAGATTTAACCATTCTCTATCCCTGAACCATAGTTACAATGCTACCACAAATTTAAGCCAGGGGTGGAGTATTCCTCTCATGATTCATTTTCACAGTGTAACCTATCCTAAGACAGTCAGTAAGGGAAAGTCTTCCTGAAGAGGAAGGCCTTTGTCTGCTTGTGGAAGAACAGCAAAGATGGTGCCAGCCTTCAGTGGGAGAGAATTCAATGAAGAGCGTAACAATGAAGATGAGTGGCAGCAGATTCAACCATCCTCTATCCCTGGACCATAGTTACAATGCTACCACAAATTTAAGCCAGGGGTGGAGTATTCCTAAGTAACTTCCAATACTGGGCTGAGAGGAGTTTGATTGTTCAATCACTTATATTCAATACTATTGTGGGTTTTCAACCATTATTCTTCATGTTATGCTTATGGCTTCATCCCTGCTTGTTCAATATGTTTTTCTTTCAATTTCCTTTCTTAACCCCTTTTTATCTACTCCTATACCCTAGCACTCTCTCCACATCTTCTTGTCCCTATGTCTCTCTATCCCTATCTCATTCCAACTCTCCTCTGTCTCTTCCAGCTGTCTAACTGTCATTCTGACTCCGCCCCTCCTGCTCTATCCTCTGATTGACATGCAGGAATGACGTCATCTTTTGGGTTCCGCTACACAATACTACCACAAATTTAAGCTAGGGCTGGAGTATTCCTAAGTAACTTCCAAAACTGAGCTGAAAGGAGTTTGACGTTGACACAGCTTCAACTAGGCTCAGCTGTCTGGACTAATTTGTTGTTGTTTAGTCGTTTAGTCGTGTCTGACTCTTTGTGACCCCATGGACCAGAGCATGCCAGGCCCGCCTGTCTTTCACTGCCTTGTGGAGTTGGGTCAAAATCATGTTGGTACCTTCAATGACACTATCCAACCATCATGTCCTCTGTTGTCCCCTTCTCCTCTTGCCTTCACACTTTCCTAACATCAGCGTCTTTTCCAGGGAGTTTTCTCATGAGATGGCCAAAGTACTGGAGCCTCAGTTCAGGATCTTTCCTTTCAGTGAGCACTCAGGGTTGATTTCCTTTAGGATGGATAGGTTTGTTCTCCTTGCAGTCCAGGGGACTCTCAAGAGCCTCCTCCAGCACCACAATTCAAAAGCGTCAATTCTTCAGTGGTCAGCCTTCTTTATGGTCCAGCTCTCACTTCCATACATCACTGCAGTAAAAACCATAGCTTTAACTATTCAGACTTTTGTTGGCAAGGTGATGTCTCTGCTTTTTAAGATGATGTCTGGTGGATTTATATAGATGGATGTTAATTTGAAAATATCTGCAGTGTTTATGGAGCCCAAGAAAGTAAGATCTGTCACTGCCTCCATATCTTCCCCTTCTATTTGCCAGGAGGTGATGGGACCAGTGGCCATGATCTTAGTTTTTTTGATGTTGAGCTTCAGACCATTTTTGCACTCTCCTCTTTCACCCTTATTAAGAGGTTCTTTAATTCCTCCTCACTTTCTGCCATCAGAGTGGTATCATCTGCATATCGGAGGTTGTTGATATTTCTTCCAGCAGTTTTAATTCCGGCTTGGATTTCCTCCAGTCCTGCCTTTTGCATGATGTATTCTGCATATAAGTTAAATGAGCAGGGGACAATATACAGCCTTGTTGTACTCCTTTCCCAATTTTGAACCAATAAATTGTTCCATATCCAGTTCTAACTGTTGCTTCCTGTCCCCCGTATAGGTTTCTCAGGAGATAGATAAGATGGTCAGGCACTCCCATTTCTTTAAGGACTTGCCATAGTTTGCTGTGGTCTGGACCAATTAGGACTGCAATATAAGCAGGTTCATATAGAAGCAGGTGGCTGTTCAGATATCTCACTCCCAACTTATGTTATTCTTTAAGGCAGTACTTTGAATTGCTGCATTTTGAATTCACCCAGAAACAGATGGACAAAAATATGCTCTATGAATAGAGATTACCATTATGCATCCTCACCTGTCATATTATGAGGTGACTGAAGTTGCTAGGACACCTCGGTGGAAAATCCAGAGAATTCAAGGAAGCATTACTTATCTTCTTCACCTCTTTTCTATAGATCAAGGACAATGGTGAACTCATTGTGAAAAATGCCCAGCTGAGGCATGCTGGAAGATACACATGTGTTGCTCAGTCCATCGTTGATAATGCGACAGCTTCAGCTGATCTTGTTGTTAGAGGTAAGAATTCTGTTCATATATATTTTGCAAAAATGTTTAAAAAATAACTATTAAAATGGTGGTTGGCAGTGGTGAAACTATACTTTCTCTCCATATGCTCATTATAACAGAATTATACCATTATATAATTGTTGTTCTACCCAGGCGTTTACCCAGGCATTCTAGCTCCCCCCCCCTTCATCTTTTTCATCACCTCCTACTTGTGGAGGAACAGTCTGAAGGGGGAATTGGCTCTTCCTCCCTGTATCTGCAACACCATATTGGGTTCTTAGGCATTTAGAAGCTTCTAAAATTACTTTATAAAGCACCTTGACAAGATATTTCTTACAATGCTTAGACAGAATGCAGTGTTATTGTATACAATGTTTGTTTCTTGATATCTTTGTTTCCACTTCTTGGTAAGTTCACGTAATTGTCATGCAAATATTTTTCAGGGCCTCCAGGTCCCCCAGGAGGACTGAAAATAGAAGATATTAGAAACACATCTGTTATTCTTACATGGAGCCGCGGAACAGACAATCACAGCCCAATTTCAAATTACACTATCCAGTCAAGAACTTTTCTCTCTGAGTACTGGAAGGACATGAAAACAGGTAGTAGAGGCATTAGAAATATTAGAGTGTATCTGAAGTAATGTGCCTGTGGTAATATTCCATGTTTTTGGACTAAGCCTCCCAGAAATCCTAGCTGGCACAGCTAATGGTGAAGGCTTCTGGGAGTTTTAGTTGAAGAACACGTGGGTTGCGATCCACTTCTGCATAGGTTTATAGAGATTCACTAGAAAATAAGACGTCTGTTCCTAAATGTATGTTGTTAATTTGTCAGACAGTTTTGCTAAAGAGTCAGAATTGCAAGTGCAAGAAGGCCAGCCTACTATGCAGAGTTTTAAAATAATGTGTTGGAATTAAACCTATGAAAATCGAAAGTTTAAACTATTTTATGTTTGAAAAGTAACACAAATGGGAGTTTTACTCATCAAAAGTATTAGCTGTGACACCATCTCTGCAGAACATGTACATCAGTTCCTACTGACCCTCCCAAAAGTGAAAAGGTCTATGCTTCCCTTTCACAGCTGAATTCTTTGTGTAGACCAAACTTAGCTCTATAAATGTATTTCAGCTACAATATGCAGAAGCCTTAGTCAGTAAAGCCAAGAATGTGTGGTATTTCTAGAAGCTATAGTTTAAGATCATTAAGTCCAAATGTTTGGAACCATTGCTCTGTGTGGAATTAATAAATTATACATCTACAGCATAACACTTTGAGAATCTTTGGGTTCAAATGTAGATCAGAAACTGCCTCAAAGCTTGCCTACCTTATCCTAGATGGCTACTGAGATCATAGTGACCAGTTCCTGTTGCATCTAAGTCTGCCCAACAGCTGCCCAACAGCTGGGGAAAAAACCTGGCTTCAGTCTCCATGGATAATATTTGAAAAATTATGTTATTTGAAGGAAAGCCACAACCCAACAATCTCTGTAATGGATGGAGTTAGGATGATCATTTTATTTATTTATTTAAAATATTTATATGGTGATTGAAGGATCCAAGGCATCTTACAGCATTAAAAGAACAAAGTTAAAAGCTAAATAATAAATTGTTACAATATTTAAAAAGTGCTAACAAATATATTAAAACTTAGTTAGAACAATATTAACAACAAAAGTAAAACACAGAATAAAATGCTCCCTTTAAAAAAATCCCCTTCGTCAACCAGTCATTTAAAGGTATGCCTGCCTGAAGAGAAAGGTTGTCTCCTTGTGGAAGGACGGTAAAGATGGAATCAGCTTGGTCTCCTGTGGGAGAGAGTTCCAGAGTCTGAGAGGACCAACAGAGAAGACCTTTTCCCATGTTCCCACCAAACATGCCTGTCATGGTGGAGGAACTGAGAGAAAGACTCTCCTCATGATCTTAGTAACCAGGAAGGTTCATAAAGGGAGATATGGTCTTTTTGATAGCTTGTAACCAAGCTGGGCTTTATAGATTAAAATAAGCAATTTAAATTTGCCCTGAATTGGATTGGCAACCAGTAAAGCTGCTGTAATGGGAGTTATATATTCCCTGTAACCATTCCCAGCTAATAATCTGGTTACAGCATTTTGGATCCACCAGAGATTTTGAACATTTTCTAAAGACAGCCCTATGTAGAGTGCATTACGGTAATCCAGCTGAGATGTAATTAAGGCATGTATCACTGTGGCTAGATCAGACCTCTCAAGGAATGGACACAGTTGGTGGACTAGATTTAACTATGTGAATTTATGTGGATGTCCAGCCAGAACCTGGACATCCAGGCTCAAAGACAAATCCAGGAGCACCCCTCAGCTGTACATCTGTGTTTTCAGAGGGAGTGTAACCCAGTCCAGCATAGGCTGCATCCCTATTCCTTGATCTACTTTTTGACTGATGGGCCCACCTGTTTTGTCTGGATTAAGTTTTGGTTTATTTGCCCTCACCCAGTCCATTACTGACATCAGACACCAGTCCCCAGAGAGTGCAGCTTGGGGAGAGTGTCTCGGCCCCGTGGAGTCTCAACTGTGGGGTTCCACAGGGGTCAATCATCTCCCCAATGCTGTTTAACATCTATATGAGGCCGCTGGGAGGGGTCATCAGGGGATGTGGGGCATTGTGTCATCAATATGCTGATGACACCCAGCTCTACATCTCCTTTTCACCAACTGCAGGTGATGCCGTCCTGTCCCTTCAGCACTGCCTGGGGGCCGTACTGCAATGGATGCCGGAGAATGGGCTGAGGTAGAACCCAGACAAGACGGAAGTTCTGAGGGTGGGTGGCCCCGTGGCTAGTGACTTGGGTGACTCTCTCACATTTGGGGAGGTGACCCTGGCCGTGAAGAGTGGGGTCCGCAGCTTGGGCATACATTTGGACCCGACGCTCACCATGGAAACGCAGGTGGCGTCGGTAGTCCGCACCACCTTTTTCCACCTTTGGCGGATTGCCCGGCTGAGGCCCTACCTCAATACGGGGGCACTCACTACCTTGGTGCATGCGCTCGTAATCTCAAGATTAGACCACTGTAACGCGCTCTATGTGGGGCTACCTTTGAGGCTGATGCGGAAACTTCAGGTGGTGCAGAATGCGGCAGCCAGACTCCTTACTGGAGTGAGAAAGTTTCAACACATTTCTCCAATTCTGGCTGCACTGCATTGGCTGTCCATTCATTTCTGTGTCGACTTCAAAGTCTTAATGCTTACTTATAAGGCCCTAAACGGTTTAGGGACGTCTACTCCCACCAAGGTCTACCCGGATCACCCGTGCAAGTCAGGAGGTGAGACTGAGGAGCCCAACACCAAGAGAGGCCCAGAAAGAGAAGACACAAAACCGGACCTTCTCAGTGGTGGCTCCTCACCTCTGGAACAATCTCTCTCCAGAGATTCACGCGGCCCCTACGCTGGGCATCTTTAAAACCCAATTAAAAACATGGTTTTACATCCAGGCCTTTCCTCCAGTTAATACCTGATTCTTTTCTGGGCTAGGAAGTTCAACTATACTTTCAGCTGTACATTCAGCAGCCGATTGTTGCCCAATGTACAGTTCAACTTCACTCAAAGCTCATAATTGAGTCATGCTCAAGGAGTCTGGTGGAGTAGCCATTTGGCTCTTTAAAGAGCAGTAATTTCCAGGCTGAAGTTCCTGATGGTTCTTAGACTAAGGGCCTGGCTGCACAGCCCAAAAAACCTGGGATCTGACCTGTGTTAAAAACGATGCTGAGTTTCACATTCACACAATGAATTCCAAAGTGCATATTTATTTTCCTCTGACTTGGTTTATTTTCTTAGGAAGCAAATTAAAATGAACAGCCACCTGTTTTTTAGCATGCTGTTTTCTTAATTGACTTAAACCCAGTTTTGAACGTTACAGCCGGAATGCAGGAAACAACTCAAAAACTATGTGACTTGAGTAAGCTAAAATTAAAGTGCTACATGTTGTGGGTTTTTTGAAAAATGTAGACAGGCTTTCAGGCTCTAAGGTGATGACTGTATTGACAAGTGGAATCAGGTTTTTTTTGTCCATGCAGAGGTGATCTAGCACTATATTGGTGTATCAATGTAGTGATACAGCTCTAAAGTCACTAGTTTATTATTATTTTTTTAAAAAAATAAGCACTGTGGGCTGGGTATTCCCTCTGTCTAAAACATCATATCCAGCTTAGTGCATCACCAGAATATAACCCATAGTCATGCTCCCACATCCTTTTGGAGAACAAAGTAATCACACGAGGAAAAGTCCATTCACATAGTCTCAGCTTGAAAAAAGCAGAAGTCTCAAGTGGCAGAGGAGAAAACTATTCAGTATTATACCATGTTCAAACAGTAATGTTATTTAATTCTTCCAGTTATGCACACATGTGTACTATATTGGAAATTATCATTAGACAGTGCTGTAAATTTCATGATTTTTATAAAAGTGTGTACCAATCTGAATTATGACATGAGATAGTCAAATCTGAGATTTAGAAACATATTTCCCCTATTGCTAAATATAATATTTTGTACCAACCATAGTTAGACACACACTGTGGCTCCAACAATAAAAAGTGGAAAATATAGTTAGATCACCCTATATCTCAAGAGAACTTACTGAGAGGCCACTCACATTGTTGCTGTTAATTATTGTTGGGTGAATTTTATAGTCTATGTTAACTAGAGAAACAGAGCTCAAACTGGAGTATTCAAGGAGATTGTCAGCTTTTTTCTTATATATATTTTTTCTTATATATATTATATTTTCCGCTTTTTATCGTTGGAGCCGCAGGAAGGAAAGTAGTAATGGTTCAGAGCAAACACAGTGTTCCGAGGCCAACGGCTTTGTTGCATTAGTACACATTCTAATTGTTTCTTGACAAGCAGGATAGAGCACAGTGCTGGTGGTGCACACAGCCATATCATTCTTGCAGGGTTTCTCCTACAGGCAGTGTCTTGGAGTATGTGAACCAGAATCTCTTGCTGGTCTGGAAAGTAACAAGCTAGAGTTCTCAGCTCTTACATTCTAATAAACTCTGGATAGAAGACTGATTTATTTAGCTGCTGGTGCAGTTCTACAATGTGTACTAGCACAGTTATGAGTGGATCTTTGTAACCAAAAGGACTGTCAAAAGAAAAATTCACCATAGGACTGAAATACCAACCTTGTATATGTTAGGTTGGATTATGATCTTTTGTTACGTATTTTCTATTTTCATTCAGATCCTCCAGTAGTTGAAGGAAATGTTGAGTCAGCCAAGGTGATTGATTTAATCCCATGGATGGAATATGAATTTCGGATAATGGCCACTAATATTTTAGGGACAGGAGAACCAAGTATACCATCACAGAAAATCCGAACAGAAGGATCTCGTACGTACATACGAACACCATGCCTAATTTTATTCTCATTTTAAAGTAATAATTTTGAAGTATTGTGGTTTGTTTGTTTCTTTGTTTCACGGGAAACTGTACTGAATCTTATTTACTGTAAAGCATTATGAACAACAGTGGGGTCTCTACTTAAGAACGTCCCTACTTAAGAACAATTCCACTTAAGAACAGCTCCATTTGCTAAATTTTGCTTGTACTTGAGAACAAAAATCCAGAGAAGAACAGGAAAAAAAAAAACTTTCCTGCTCTTTTTTTAACCTTAGGTCATCTTAGGTTAAAAAAAAGTTCTCCCCCTAGTGGTAGAGTATGTATTAACCAGCTTTGCATTAGTTCCTATGGGAACTAATGCTTCAATGTACGAACGCACCTCTACATAAAAAAAACAGCCAGAACGGATTAATTGGTTTTCAGTCCATTGCTTCAAAATTAGCTTCGTCAGAAGTGCTTTTAACACTGTTCCCTGACCTAAGGGGAAAAAAAAAGAAAAAATCCCCCTCTAGTGGTAGGAGGCAGAATAGCAGCTTCCCATTAGTTTCTATGGACGGAAAAGAGCAGATACGGATTAAATGGTTTTCAATGCATTCCTATGGGAAATGCAGATTCTACATAAGAACTTTTCCACTTGAGAACCACCTTCCAATACGGATTAAGTTCTTAAGTAGAGACCCCACTGAATTTTCCTGTGGATTCAGGTGAGCATTTCCCCCCCTCTACATTCTGTTTTGCAATTTCTCCTTGAATAACTTGAAACAAAGTTATTCAAGGAGACCCAGTGCTTAAAGAAGACATTTACATTTGAAGCCCAGGACAGTATGATTTTTGCCAGGTAGTGACTACAGAACATATATATATATGAACATATAATGGCTGTAATCCAATAGTAAGTTACAACTGGACTAGGCCCATTGTATCAGTGGGGATTCCTTCATAAATTCCATTAATTCAATTGCCTTTTCTATTTGCATTTTTGTACTAGATTTTAGTCAATGTGTTTTAGGGAAAAAATTGGTGATCTAAATTACCTCTTTGTCATATAAAAAAGACACATTTCTAAAACTTCAAATTTTCTAAATTATAATTTCATGTAGATTTGGCTTGCTTTAGAAAATTATGATGTTTTTGAACTTAATAAGTTTTTGTGATTAGATATTCACACCAAGTGCGTTAAAATCCACTTGATAGAAAGTGAAGCAAAAACCATTCTAGCCATGGTCATAGGAGGCTACATTTCAGTGGAATGTTTTAAATATTGTTGTAGTGCTTTTCTATTAAATTCTGTGAGTTTTCTGGAAGCACTCAATGTATCTGTTTTAGGTTGGGGTTTTTTTTCATAGTTTGGGATGCTATGGTATTGCAGAATGATAAAAGTTGAGTCACTGCTCAGTACAAGTTCCAGAATACTTTGGGAATAAAATTACATATTCAGAATAGAAGGTTCTCACCTTCCTGAGAAACTTTGGCTTTGGGTTGTAAGCCTAGCAAAGCACCATGAGTTGTATAAATGTACACACACAGTATTGTCAAAGCTCCACCCCAGTGTAGAATTTCTCAGATCCAGTGCTACCCAGCTCCTCCACCACCCTTCCAGTCCAGTAAGAGGTATGTTTAACATCCCACAGCTGAATGTGGCAGCATCCATTCTGGGTTGTATATAGTTTCATTGTGGGGAGGGAGAGGTATTGCAGTAGATCAGAGGGGTTCACGTTTGGGCCATGCTGTCCTTCCCTTTCCTTGGATAAGTCTGATTGAATAGTGTTAAAGTTCTCGCTGTAAATTCCTGAGTGCAAGACCTCATCATACAAATTCCATACAGTCCTGGACTTTTGCACACTACTACCTCAACATTCAAAAGCTGCCTGAATGTGTGTGCTACTTAGCTCTGTCTGAGGTTCAGTTCATGTCCAGCACTTTGACAAGGAGATGTAATTGAGGCAGTGCAGTGCAGTGCATTGAAACCAACATATAATGAATCACTTATTTATTAGCATTCCCAAAATTTCGTTGTTAATGAATAATCCAATCCCAGATGAAACTGTGGACATTGGATAGATGTCTACTGACCCAGTGAAGCTTTGTGAAATTATGGATGTTACAGTTAGGGAGATGGAGTATTATGATCATAACTAGTCAAAGCCTACTTGTGTGTTGGACCAGATAATGCTGTGTTTACAACTGATCGATGGCCTCTAAAACTGTCTCAATGGCATGACCTTATCCTCCCTGACACATCTTTTAATTTGTCTAATTGCTTAATGTTAGTGCTCAATGTACAGTAGTGCATAGTCCTTGGCATTCAACAGGAATTACTTTTTCTACATGAGGAATAAGCACGACTTTTGTTGTTCAAGATAACACATGCTATTTTGACTGTAAGAAGGAGATAACCACATTTCTCCTGTAACTCATAAGTCACTGCAGAAATGCCCAGGAAACCCAAGATGTCATTTTCAGCAAATTACGTATTCTTTTTTCCTTTTAGTGCAGAGACTGGATCATTGTCTCGAATGAATGTGTCAAGCATACTGTTGAATCAGGCATTGATTTGAGGCTGAAGCCTTAGGCTTGTCAAAAAAGGAAAGAAAACTTTGGTGAAAAAAAAATTCCTATAATCCAAAGTAGACGTGTTTCAGGCAACACATAAGATTAATATATCTGATATTTTATTATAATAGGGGGAACAGTAAGAAATAAACACAAATAACACAGGCCATTGAACTATGATGTGAATAACAGAGTAACCACTAGAGTTCTACAGTCTCATATTGAATATATATATCTGTAAGAGTAGCTATTTTAGAATACCCAGCTCATAGACCTTTTCTGAATGAAGCAAAGTGGGACAAATTTGCAGTCACTGTTGAACGGATGTGGCACAGTTTGTACACTATAGAAAGAATGTCCTACTGCCGAAAATGCTGCATTTCCACAATCCTCACAGACTAGGAGTGAGAAACAAGGAGAGCACATTAGGGAATTAATATGTGTGAATCATGCCCATGAATATTTCAGGCATGTCCAAAATAGTACTATGGAGAAAACTATTACACTGGAAATGTCTGATTGCTTTTCTTTGGCAAATAAGTGCTCTTAAAAATACAAGATGGAATATTGTTAATAAATATACGTTAATATGTCTAGGATGGTTTATGATTTTTATGATGATTTTCCCCCAACCTAATTCCACTAGGATTTTCTTGCATAAGCATAAAAGCAACTTTCTGTGTAGACATTTTTTGTAGCAATTACACTACCTTACACAACCTAATTCCACTAGGATTTTCTTGCATAAGCATAAAAGCACCTTTCTGCGTAGACATTTTTTTGTAGCAATTAAACTACCTTACAGTTTTTGTTGTTTAGTTGTTAAATCATGTCCGACTCTTTGTGACCCCATAGACCAGAGCACACCAGGCCCTCTGGTCTTCCACTGCTTCCCAGAGTTTGGTCAAATTCATGTTGGTAGCTTCGATGACACTGTCCAACCATCTTATCCTCTTACATCCTCTTCTCCTCTTGCCTTTACACTTTCCCAACATCAGGGTCTTTTCCAGGGAATCTTCTCTTCTCATGAGATGGCCAAAGTATTGGAGCCTCAGCTTCAGGATCTGTCCTTCTAGTGAGCACTCAGGGTTGATTTCCTTCAGGGTGGATAGGTTTGTTCTCCTTGCAGTCCAGGGGGCTCTCAAGAGTCTCCTCCAGCATCACAACTCAAAAGCTTCAATTCTTTGGCCACCAGCCTTCTTTATGATCTAACTCTCACTTCCATACATCGCTACTGGAAAAAACATAGCTTTAACTATGTGGACTTTTGTCAGCAAGGTGATGTCTCTGCTTTTTTAAGAT